GCCGGAGCCCACCAGGTCGAGGCTGCGGTGGCCGGGAGCAGCCACTGCACTCGGGTCTGGGCAACCGAGTGAGACTCCAACTCAAAAAAAATAAGCTACTAGCAGGACTGACCCTCTCCCCCATCAAAAAAGGGAGAAAGAGACAGACGGTACAAGCTAGTCCTGCAGAACCTGCAGACTGCCAAATGAAAATAAGGCAATGCTATGAACGGTCCACATGCAAAAATTTGACAAGTGAAATGGACCACTTCCTTTTTTTTCTTTTTTTTTTGAGTTAGAGTCACTCTGTCACCCAGGCTGATGTGCAGTGGCACACTCATAGCCGCTGCAGCCTCCACCTGCTAGGCTCAGGCGATTCTTCCAAGTAGCTGGAATAACCGGTGTGCACCACCACATCCGGCTGGTTTTTTGTAGAGAGGAGGAGGTGTCACCATGTTGCTCAGGCTGGTCTCATGCCCGCGGCCCGTACAGCTGCCTTGAGGGTCCTGGGAGAGAGCAGCGACAGATTAAGAAAGACAGACACAAAGAAAAGCGGCGGCCTGGTGGGACGCTTCCCTCTGATGGAGGAGAAGTGGCCCCGAACTAGCTCAGCACGTTTGTTTTATAATCAAGCACAGAGGGAGTTGGAAGGATTCAAGGTCTGTGAGGGAGCCGTCGTGGAATTTTGTTGCTACCCAAAGGCAAGCTGTTCCGCAGTTATCTTGTTGTCGCTGTGGGCCCCCGGCCATGTGGGCATCTGAGAGGCCATGTCGCGGAGCAGGCTGCAGCGGCCAGGGCGTGCCACTGGACTCCAGTCTGCGCCCCAGAGTGAGACCCCGACTTGATGCAGAGCTGCCGAGCGAGACCCCGCCTTCGCTTGGGGCCTTCACTAAGGCATGCTGCAGTGACAGGTCGTCTGCTCCCCACATCACATGCGCTCCTGGCAGTCTCAAACCCCTGAGCCCAGCTGAACTCTCGCCTTGGCCTCTCAAAGCGCTAGGGTTACAGGCAGGAGCCACCGCGCCCAGCAGTCCACTTTCTTAAAACTACCTCAACTCACTCTGTGTGAAATAATTTGCATAATCCTATAACTATTTTTATTTATTTATTTATTTTTCTTTTCTTTTTTTTTTTGAGTTGGCGTCTCACTCCGTCGCCCAGGCTGGAGTCCAGTGGCATGCTCACGGCCACCGCAGCCTCAACCTGCTGGGCTCTGGCGATCCTTCCACTTCAGCCTTCCATGTAGCTGGAACTACAGGCAGGCGCCACCATGCCCGGCTAACTTTTTGATTTATTGTGGAGATGTCTCGCCAAGTTGCCCGGGCTGGTCTTGAACCTGTGAGCTCAGGCAGTCCTCTCATGTCAGCCTTCCAAAGTGCTGGGATTGCAGACATGAGTCACTGCACCTGGCTAATTTTGTGTGTGTGTGTGTAGAGATGAAGTCTTGCCAGATTGCCCAGGCTAGTGCCATGGCTTTTAAAGACACCTGCAAAAGATTTGTGGAGCCAGAGGTGGAGAGCCATGGAATCAGGATTACCTTCACCAGCCACAATGTGAAATCTCTGGAGAAAGCGTGTGCTGATCTGTTCAGAGGCGCAAAGGAAAAGAATCTGAGAGTGAAAGGACCAGTTCGCATGCCTGCTGAGACTTTGAGAGCCACTGCAAGGAAAACTTGTGGTGAAGGTTCTTTTTTTTTTAACTTTAAAATTTTAATTTTAAAGATGTGGGCTACAATTCAGGGTTAGGTATACAAATATTCATTACACAGTTACCCTTGTCGATGAGGTGTGTGGTGAAGGTTCTAAGACATGGGATCACTTCCAGATGGTGAAGGTTCTAAGACTTGGGATCACTTCCAGATGAAAATCCACAAGCAACTCACTGACTTGCATAGTCCTTCCAACGTGGTTAAGCAGGTTACTTCCATCAGTATCGAGCCAGGAGTTGAGGTTGAAATCACCATTGCTGATGCTTAAGTCAGCTATTTTAACAAACTGATTACCACTTGAAAAAAATTGAAAATAAAGAATACTTCCCAATTCATTTTATGAACCTGCATTATTACCCTGATGTCACAGCCAAAGATAATACAAAAAATAAATACAAATTAAAGAGGTAATAAAAAGAAAACTTCAGACAAATATTTCTCATGACTATAAGTGCAAAAATCTTTAACAACATATTAGAAAATGGAATTCAGCAATACAGTAAAAGAATTATACACAATGACTATTACCAGGTAGGGTAACAAAGCTGGTTCAGCATCTAAAAATCAATGAATCATATTGACAGGGTAAGAAGAAAATGACATGATTATATCCATAGATGCAGGAAAAAAGCATGTGACAAAATTAAACACCCATTCATGATAAAAACTCTCAGAAAACTAGGACTAGAAGAGAACTCTCTCTACTTAACAAAGAATATCTAGAAATAACCTACACCTAACATAATATCATAGTAAAAGACTAAAAGCTTTCCCTCTAAGACTGGAGGCAAGGAAAGGATATCTGCTCTCAATACTCTTATTCGACACTGCTTGAAATTGTAGCTAGTGCAATAATGAAAGAAAAGGTAATAAAAGGCATAAAGATCAGAAAGGAAGAAATAAAACTCTCCCAACTTGCAGGCGACATGATTACCTATGTAGAAAATTCCACAAGTTACCACAAAACACCTAGAACCAACAAGCAAGTTCAGCAAGATTGTGGCATACAAGATAAATACCCAAAAACGAATTGTTAACTGTGTATTAGCAATGAACGTGTGAACATCAAAATTAAAAATACAGCCAGGCTCGGTGGCTCCGCCTGTAATCCCGTGCCTTGGGAGGCTGAGGTGACTGGATTCCCTGAGCCCGCGGGTTCGAGACCCGCCTGGGCAGGCAAGACCTCATCTCTACAATAAATCAAAAAATCAGCCGGGCGTGGTAGTGGTGCCTGTATCGGAAGGCTGAGGGGGAAGGATCGCCAGAGCCCAGCAGGTCGAGGCTGCGGTGGCCGGGAGCGGCCGCTGCACTCCAGTCTGGGCGACACAGTGAGACTCCAACTCAAAAAAAAAGATTAAAAGAGGAATCAGTCTGCCTGATTTTAACACTTACAACAAGATTCTGTTGTACTGGTGGAGGGATAGATAAGTAGGTCAATGGAGCAGAATAGAGAACCCAGAAACAGATGCACACGTATGCCCAACTGATTTTTTTTACAAAAGTGCAAAGCATTTTAACAGAAGAAAGGCAGCCTTTTCAACAAATGACGCTAGAGGAAGTTGACCTCCATTGGCAAAAGAATGAACTTTGGCCAGGCTTGGTGGCTCAGCCTGTAATTCCAGCACTTTGGGAGGCTGAGGCGAGTGGATTGCCTGAGCTCAGGTCCGAGACCTGCCTGGGCAACTTGGCGAGACCTCATCTCTACAATAAAAAATTAGCCGGACATAGTGGCACATGCCTGCAGTTGCAGCCACTTGGAAGGGTGAGGCAGAAGGATCGCCGGAGCCCAGCGGGTTGACGTTGGGGATGCCGGGAGCGGCCACTGCACTGCAGCCAGGGCGGTGGAGCTCGAGACTCCAACTTAAAAAAAAAAAAACTTTGATCTCAAGCTCACATCTCATACACCAATTAGAAATTGGACCATGACCATGGACTTAAATGGAAAATGTAAACTATAAAGATTTTGGGGGAAAAAATAGAAGCAAATCATCAGGAATATTTTTGGGCTAGGCAAAGTTATTTAACTTGACACCAAAAGTATAATACAGAAAAGGAAAATTTGCAAATGGCTTTATCAAAATTGATATTGTGTGCTCCAAAAGACCTGTTAAAAGATTGAAAAGAGGCCGGGCTCGGTGGCTCAGCCTGTAATCCCAGCGCTTTGGGAGGCCAGGTGAGATGATTGCCTGAGTCTGCGGGTTCAAGATCCACCTGGGCAACTTGGTGAGACTTCGTCTCTACAATAAATCAAAAATTAGCCGGGCGTG